CCTGGGAGGGAGTTATATGGTGTAGAATCTTTGGAAGCTTTCATGTCATAATTACTCTGTGTTTTCTCATCATATCTGCAAGTAAATGTTCTTTCAGGATTTATTACATGGTCCTAAATGTTCCATGGTTGAACATATTTGATTCTTCCAAAGGATATGAAAACTGACCATCTGGTTCAGTACTGGGTTGTTCTATGGTTATGAGGTTACTTTTATTACGGGCTAACCTCTCCACTTCCCATTGCACCAATTGAGTCATGACAATTTGGTTGCTGACATACATTCATAACATGATCTTACTTTCAAGAATTATTTAACAGGTTTCTCGAGTAGGGTCCTCATGTGAGCTAGATGGAGAAAGCTTTGTGGTAACTTGGCCATGAACAGGAAGAACTTAGGTGTCCTGTGGGGTTATGCACCTTTTAAGGCTATGTAGAGTATAAGGCTTTTCTTCAATTTGATATCTCTGAGACAAGGAGGTGATTCCAAGCCTCATGCAAATGTAAGCATCCTCAACCTTAGTTTGGGGATGCTGCCATTAAGCAAGTTTGATAAAAATGAAGGAAGGTCTTTTAATAGACCTTATTTGACCTAAAGTATGCCTTCAGTAACCCTTATAAAATTCCTAAATTGCAATTTAAGTGGAACCTATTATCAGGTCCAGGTACTTCCTAGTGCTTCGAAATGGCTGAGAATCTGTTTTTAGTTTTCAGGAATATGGAAAAATCAGAAAAGAGTTTTCTAGCTTGTCTATTTTGGTGCCATTTCTAAGGGCAGTTAAGGAAATACACAAGGAGTGAGTCACTTGATTTTTAGTGAATAGGGGAAAGTTCTTCTTTAGTCAGTTTCCAATAAGAACAACTCAGTGTGTTGGCTGATGGTTCTGTATCAAGCCAGGAAGGTCCCTCATCACCCCTCTACACGACCTTACTGGAAATAAGCTTCTGATGGCTTTGTTGGCTGTCCATGGTCAAATTGTCTTACTGTTTACCATTGTTTGTATACCTGCACTGTCTGTATACAGTATACATGCTGAATAACTGTAAACTTGTGTGATGAATTTACTGAATATATATCCATGTATCTATCTATCAGGACAATTTCTTGGAACATTGTAAGAAAATAGTGAGAAGTGGGTCATGGCAGCTCCTGGGGTGGTCCTGGCAACTCTATTAGTTATGAGGAAGATCATTGTCTCCATGTCTACCGCAGAAATCTTTAAGAGAAGGTGATTTGGGCAGGTACTGTACTTAGTACAAGATCTACAGTTTTCATTTCTTTGATAGTGGATCTTAAGGGTTCTTGGCCTCTTTTATGTGCAGTCTGCACGACACCGTGAATACTCTTGATTGTTTTACTCTGTTACAAGGGTGATAAGTTACAGAGGAAAAGTTCACAACTCTTGATAACAGATTAGCTGTTGCAGATATAACTGTGGCCACCTTGACACTTTCCCTTATCCTGGAGATGTTTACCTTAGAGTTGAAGTGCACCTGTACTGTAGCTGCTAATCAACCTACATCCAACGTGGGTTAGATGTGACATATGTTAACTTTCACCCTCACCCCATTTTGAAGTTTTCAATTATCTCATTTCTGCAAAACACAGTATGTGCTACACCTACCCCCCACCACCTGATGTGGGATGATGTCGTGTGTCACCAAGACACCTGCCTTGGGCAAGATATGTGTCTTGACCTTGAACTTCACCTCAACCTCTCAAAGTGAGGTCATAGCCTATTTTTCAGTTATAATCCCTCTGTAGAAATGATCTTGAAGTAGAAAATTATTGAATGATAAAACAGAATACAAAACAATATTTGTATATTGGCATACACAGTGAAGCCAGCATTAATAACAAGCAAGTATTGAGTCATTCAAAGTTAACTATTTCTTCTGAGTGAGTTGCTTCTACTGTACTGTATTATGCTGTCAGATAAGAGGATGGCTCAAGCTGAACCTGTCTACATTATAGGAATATCTGCACATCGTCCTCAGTCTCTTTCCTTGTAACACAAATTAACAGCCGTAACAACTACAGCAGTCATAAAACCTTGGTCATTAACTAATGCGTTTATCTTTCACCCCATTTATAATTTTCCTCAATGCCTCCTACCATTCTTCTCTCCAATATACAGTTGACCCTTAAAAGCTGACAGGGTTAATGACTAAACACTACCACAAACACACAAACCTGTTAATTGGTGAAGATATGGCCATGCTTACGGTGAAGTCAGACCAGCCACCAGAAAGCTCATCATTATCATCATCACAAACACTGCCATAAGGGGTTAGTAATGCCAGTAATTTGAGAAGAATATACATGGGACTGTTATATATTTTACGGGTCAAAAGACATCAAACTTGACCTTAACTAAACTTCAATTGTATCTCATCTAACAAATAATATACGTAACTGTCATTTTTCATTCAATAAATTTTTCACTTTTTGGTTGATTTTTCATCATAAATAAACCATTAATATATATATACCACTGTCAGGTCCCTTTCAAGAATACCATGTTTACGCTTTGGGGTTCTATTGTTATACTAACTGAATCTTGACAAAGGGCTCCAGCGACTGAAGCAATAATATTACTGTACCACCTTGTAGTATTTCTGGGTTCAAAAGCAGGTAAAGTACAGGTATTTTGTTGTGTCCAGAAAGAAGCATCTATTAATATTAACCAAATGATCTTGTGATTCCAAAACTTACTTACTCCTAAACAGATAAAGTGACAAATAAGAATATTTCATTCAATACTTTCTTTGTTTAAGTGAATGTTTGAGTTAGTTGAGATATACAGTCGTGCCTCAACTTACATGGTCTTGAACAATATTGGGGATATTGAGGGACTGCTTTACCAACCTTGTACTGTTGATGTAACTTCTACAAAATACAAATAAACTTGCATTGTGTATTTGATGATCTACAGTATAATACCAGTGACCTGCCAACCCATTTACTATTAATGACTGTCTCTGCAATGATCAATGACTGCCTCTGCAATGGACAATGACTTTCTGCAATGATCAATGACTGTCTCTGCAATGGTGATTCAAGCTTATTGGCATTCACTTTTTCTGCTGTTTTCCACTGTATTAATATTTTTCTGTGTTTATTTTATAGTAGCAAGATATTTCTATATACCTGTACAGGTTTGACTTAACTTTTTTTTTTGTTCTTTGTTAAGTTTATCACCAATTTCATGTTTTATTTATTTCAATATGAAGTGGCAGGTATTGTATGTTTCAGTATGAGGTGGCAGGTATAGTATGTTTCAATATGAGGTGGCAGGTATTGTATGTTTCAATATGAGGTGGCAGGTATTGTACATTTCAATATGAGGTGGCAGGTATTGTATGTTTCAATATGAGGTGGCAGGTATTGTATGTTTCAATATGAGGTGGCAGGTATTGTATGTTTCAGTATGAGGTGGCAGGTATTGTATGTTTCAATATGTGGTACAGTACAGTACAGTACAGTATATAGAACACAAAGGGCGAACTCGCCACTTTCCCCATTTTCCATTTTCTGTGGATTCCCCAGGTACAATAGAGGCTACCAGGTGGTGAGAGCTTCCAAGATAAAAGCAACCTTGGAATGCGTTTGGTGAGGGGTGGAAGTTGTGTATTTTGATACGTGATGCTGACGGTGTGGCAGCATTAGGAAAGAAAAGATGTGAAATCCCCGGCCTACATAGCCAATCAGCGGCAACCCTCCAGCTGAGATGAGCTCTGGGCCACAGACGTCCAATGTACAGTACAGTACTGTATATAAAAATTTTTATGGCTTGGTTCAAATTATTTGTGGTAGTTAATTAGTGGGCATTATTTTGATAAATTGGCAAAAATCTAAAAAGGCATATTTTCTTTTTTAATTACATTCATTGAAGTGGGCTTTTCGAGATGAAAAATTTTATGTATGATTCATTGAAATTACCCAATACAGTAATATACAAAAATGAAATTACTTAAACTTGAAATGGAATTATCTCAAAAGTCACTTCTGGTGAATTAGCCCTTTGTGCTCTATATGCAATGACAGGTACTGTATATTTCAATATGTGGTGGCAGGTACTGTATGTTTCAATATGTGATGGCAGATAACACATGTTTTAATATGTAATGGCAGATAACACATGTTTTAATATGTGGTGGCAGATAACACATGTTTTAATATGTGGTGGCTGTATGTTTCAGTATGTGATGGCAGATAACACATGTTTTAATATGTGATGGCAGATAACACATGTTTTAATATGTGATGGCAGATGACATATGTTTCAATGTGATGGCAGATAACACATGTTTCAGAATGTGATGGCAGATAACACATGTTTCAGTATGTGATGGCAGATAACACATGTTTCAGTATGTGATGGCAGATAACACATGTTTCAGTATGTGATGGCAGATAACACATGTTTCAGTATGTGATGGCAGATAACACATGTTTCAGTATGTGATGGCAGATAACACATGTTTCAGTATGTGATGGCAGATAACACATGTTTCAGTATGTGATGGCAGATAACACATGTTTCAGTATGTGATGGCAGATAACACATGTTTTAATATGTGATGGCAGATAACACATGTGTGATGGCAGATAACACAGATAACACATGTTTCAGTATGTGATGGCAGATAACACATGTTTCAGTATGTGATGGCAGATAACACATGTTTCAGTATGTGATGGCAGATAACACATGTTTCAGTATGTGATGGCAGATAACACATGTTTCAGTATGTGATGGCAGATAACACATGTCAACAACAGCCATCAAGTTTAATCAATATCTTCTTTCTTTTTGCTGCATATACTGTACAGTACTAGTGAAATAAATAAATACAAAATATTCAATTGAAAGTTAGGTACTTATGTTGATTTAAACTCAGTCAGGGGTAATGTCTTATTAGTCCAACGAATAATGTCCTTTGGAAGTGATTTAAGTTGGTGTTATACTATATACACTGTTTTTGTCTTTTCCTCAGCAGGTTTGTTGCTACAATGGCACAACACCCACAGCCAACGGAACACTACGTAATGGTCTCATCCCCATAGCCAGCCCTGAGATGTGTTTCTATTGCTTTGACGTCTTATACAGTCACTTGCACAACATGGAACCTCCCAGCACTCCTGACTTTACCAACGAACCCTTGTAAGTTTGGGGTACGGTAATTCCCTACATAACCTCTCTCCTTATAATCCGTTACATGGAGGTTTCACAAATAATGGACCCTCGATATAATGGACTTTGTCGTTTTACAGCATTTTACCGCTCGTGTCCCTTTAAACAGTGATGGAAACCCCTAGTCTGAGACACATTAAGGGTAAATCACAGTACAGTTCCGAAATACTTTTATTTATTTTTAATGTTTTGTGATGAATAGATAGTGGAAGCATTGTTGACTCTTGCTCACAATGTTTTGGGCAATACTTCTGGTTGGTCTGGTTGTGGTGGATTGTGTGTTTGACTGTGGCAAATTGTGTGTTTGGTTGTGGTATATTTTGTGTTTGGTTGTGGTGGATTGTGTGGCTGTGGTGGATTGTGTGTTTGGTTGTGGTAGGTTGTGTGTTTGGTTGTGGCAGATTGTGTGTTTGGCTGTGGCAAATTGTGTGTTTGGTTGTGGTATATTTGTGTTTGGTTGTGGCAGATTGTGTGTTTGGCTGTGGCAGATTGTGTGTTTGGTTGTGGCAGATTGTGTGTTTGGTTGTGGCAGGTTGTGTGGTTGGCTGTGGCAGATTGTGTGTTTGGTTGTGGCAGATTGTGTGTTTGGTTGTGGTGGTTGTGTGGCTGTGGCAGATTGTGTGTTTGGTTGTGGCAGATTGTGTGTTTGGCTGTGGCAGGTTGTGTGTTTGGTTGTGGCAGATTGTGTGTTGGTTATGACATATTTTGTGTTTGGTTGTGGCAGATTGTGTGTTTTGTGGCAGATTGTGTGTTTGGTTGTGGCAGATTGTGTGTTTGGTTGTGGTTTGTGTGGTTGTGGTTTGTGTGTTTGGTTGTGGCTTGTGTGTTTGGTTGTAATTGTGTGGCTGTGGTGGATTGTGTGTTTGGTTGTGGTATCAGATTGTGTGTGTTGGTTGTGCTGTGTGCTGTGGCAGATTATGTGTTTGGCTGTGGCAGATCAGATTGTGTGTTTGGTTGTGGCAGATTGTGTGCAGGTGTGTGCAGATTATGTGTTTGGCTGTGGCAGATCATGTGGCAGATTATGTGTTTGGCTGTGGCAGATTATGTCTTTGGCTGTGGCAGACCCTAAACAGACTAACTCAGTATATCACTGGTATGAGTTAACTTGACGATGATGGCACTGTACTGATATGAATCTTGTTGTCTACTTCCAGCCCTTTATTTGTAACGTGGAAAGTTGGCAAGGACAAGCGATTACGGGGTTGCATGGGAACGTTTAGCCACATCAACCTACACGCAGGGCTGAGAGAGTATGCTGCTACCAGGTACGGTATAGTAGTCATTTTTTTTTTTTTACGGGAAGAGCCCACCGGGCACTGGTCATCGACCTACAACGGGGCCTGGGGGATAAGAGTAAAAGAAGATAAAAATAGAAAAGAAAAAGACCATATTAATCTACACTACAAAGATGCCGTAAAACCAACTTTTTAAAGTGAGACAGATTGTAAGAGTATGGAAGCACAGAAGAAGGCAGAGCATTCCACAGTTTGGCTGTGTGAGGAAAGAAGGATGTACTATAACGGGTTATTCTAGTGTGGCCGACAGCCACAGAGAACCTGTGGGCACCTCGGGCAAGACGAGTGTTATGAGCCCACGGCCTTGCCAGCGGTAAACAGGATGCCAAATCCACTGAACATTGCCCTTTTACATAACCTCGAGTAATTCATTGTTGCCCTAATTCATGTTGTTGGTATTTTTTGTTTTCTTAAGTTTCAGTAACTGTAATGAGATGAAGGTTATAAAAACTCTCTCTCTTTCTTTCCAGGTATTATTAAAGAATTTCATAGTCAGGATTTTATGATGGGAATGTGTCAGTTAAAATCCCCAAATTTCTGAGTTATAGGTCGATTCTTACATGTCATTCCCATCGTTATTTTATGGCCATTTTCCTTGCTTGCCGTGAAATCATGAAGTGTTCTATGCGTGTTCTTCATGTATGTTGGTTATGTTCCGAGAGGTATGTTCTCAGTTTGGAATTAACAATATATTATATGTTTTAAATCTCTCTTGGTTTGAAATATGTACGGTATAGACATCTGCTAAGGTCAGAAAAAACTTGTGTGTTGTTCGTAAATTGTAATAAAACCAGCACATTGTAGCTATGACATTTTTTAGTTTATTAAGCATAAAATGGGTTCAGATAATTTATGAGCATCCTTTATATCAAATTTTTCTTAGTGGAATTTTTATTTTTCACTCACCAGTGCATTTAAGGACTCCCGGTTCCAGCCAATTGGGAGGGATGAGCTACCACGCCTTGGGGTCTCTGTGTCTATCCTTCGACATTTTGAAGAGGGTCGAGACTATAGAGATTGGGATATAAGTGTTCATGGCATAAGAATAGAGTTCCTAAATGAGCGGGGAGCCAAAAGGACAGCTACTTACTTGCCTGAGGTCGCTCCTGAACAAGGTATGCGCCAGTGATGTCTTTTGGAGTATGATATGTTAACTTCCAGCTAATTTGCTCTCTTTTTTTATGTTGTATGTCTGTTATGCACAGTCACTGTTACAGATGTAAAAAAAAATAAAATAAATAAATAAACTTTGCATCACCTGAAGCCTAACCCCCTCCCACCTCCTAGCTTATTTCACCTGATCATTATAGTACACCCTGATGGGGGTTAGGCTAGGTTAAATTAGATTACATTTGGTTAGGTTATACAGTTTAGGTTAGGTTATATTAGGTTATGTTACATTATGTTAGGTTAAATGAAGTCAGGTTGGGTTAGAGTGTTTGAATATCAGGTGAAACTTCTCCATCCCTTGGGGTTCTGGCATTGACTTGTTCCCCAGTTATAAACACTGCCAGACTCATGCTTGTTAGTACACTCGCTCCAAAAAGTATTTTTACGATTTTGTATGAGACATTATGATATAATGGATGAAGTATTTTGACAACCATACCGAAACAACAAGAGTCGCGGTGTTCATTTTGAAATTCTTCAGACCCTTCCATAAAGATACTTTTTGGAGTGAGTGTTGTACAGTACTGTACTGTACATGTTCCTCCACCACCCCATGATATGATGTTCTCTCCATCAGTGTTCATGTTCTCCCACTCATATCTGCCATTATGTCAGTAAAGGAACACCCTGGTTGATGATTGTTTGGAGTCCAACATTACTCTGCCATGAACAAGCCTCTCAGAACTTTACCGGGTGATTGTACAGTTTGTTTATATTGGCTAACACTCGCAGAATGATTATAATTAGGGCACTTGGCAAGTACAGTATATAGTTTTCAGTCCTTCATCACGACACGATTTTGTCCATAAAACATAAATGATGAGGAGGAGGGTGATTGGTGTTAAAATATCACTCTATTGTACAAAACCAGACCAGCTATGCCAAGGGGATGATCTAGTGTGACAATTTCATGTCTCTGCTCTCTGGTTATAAACTGAAGTCTATTATTTCACTTAATTTTTCTCCCATGTGTTATTAAACTTCTATTTATTTGTGCAAAAGAGGTTGATATCTTAACACATTTTGGGACACTTTGACAGTTAGGCAGGAGTTGAGTGACAGATGGCAGTTGCATCTCAGTTTAACACAATTTGGAATACTTTCAGGTTGGGACCATGAGCAAACTATTGATTCACTACTCAGGAAAGGAGGTTACAAGGGGCCGGTGACCAGTGAAGTGCGACGCAACATAAAGTTGACTCGTTACCAGAGTGAAAAGAAATCCGTTACCTTTCAAGTGAGAAAGTACAGTATTTTAGGTGTTATGAATAAGCTGCATGTTGATATTGATTTAATTTATACACATATTTAATACTAATGGCAATGATGGGGGGAGGAGTTTTATTCTTATACACAGTAGTACATGATGTAATTTAATGTATAGTATTTAGGGAAGCAACATATCACCATTTGGCAGAGTTTAAGGTTACACTCTGTTGTGCATTAATATTGACAGAGAATATGGGACAATAAAAAGCAGAGAAAAGAAATGGAGATAGTTTGTACTTGATATCATTCCCTTCCTGTTGCTTAATACACTTGTTGAGCATCACTGTCCTACTCCAGTGTCCCCTTACTTACTTAAGGGGTAAATGTGACAGAGCATAGGTTGATTGTCATGATACAAATTCTATTTTAAACACTTTGGTCATTGTACAAATAGAGATACAGTAGCACACTTGTTGAGGAATGTAAATTACAAATAGAAATAGTACATTTGTTGAATACTACAGCAATTGTTGAGGATTGTAACGTGTGAATGTGAGGGAGATTACTCATGAGTAGTTATTAATGCTTCAGCAGTAACACTTTTACGAGGATAGTACAGTACATCTCACCGTACTATAATGGTAAAGGGGTTACAATCCCTGGTATTAATACAGTATACAGTAATTGACCTTAGACTCATAGTGTTCAGAAAGATAACGAACAGGTGTACTGTATGTCTAGTCTCAGTTAACGTTGATAGTAAAACAGATGCATATTATGTTAGTGATAGATTAGGCAAGTTTTCTTTCTCCTTTTATGGTAACTTGAACTTGAGACAACCTACAAGTGAAATTAATGGATGTAGAGCGAAACAAAACCGTAGATTATCCTTGTTGAGGAAATGATACGCCTATCTCAGATGAGCTGCCTGCCAATAGCTATATCTTATTTGATTAAATTTGTGGAGGAGATAAGGCTATAGCTTTTTGTAGTTTGTGCACTTGCTCCAAAAGTTATCTTTATGATTTTGTGTGAGACAATATGACACAATGGGTCAAGGATTTTGACAACCCTACTGAGACAACATGAGTGTGGTGTTCAATTTGAAAATTATCAGACCCCTCTTTAAAGATACCTTTTGGAGCGAGTGTACACCTTTTACATTTTTGTTGACCTTTTACTCCAGAGATAATGATAATATGTGATGTCAGATGTAATAGATTTTAAGTTTTATTTCACTGTTACTGTATTTCAGGATTACATGAGCTACTGGAGAAACCGTCGTTGCTAGCATTCGCTGAACCTTAGGGATGGAAGATGTGGGAGTGTTGATCTTGGGAGTGTGAGTGGTGGGGGTAGAGGTGGAGTCCTTGCCCGGGGCACTGATGTTTGTGGGGCCCCAGAACCTCATAACAACCACCATGGACAGTATCCTCAACCCCCTTATCACCACTACCACCTTAATAATCAGGTGATGGCCCACCACAACAACAGCCATCAGCTTCTTGCTCACAACAACCATCAACATCTCCACTACCATCATCACCACAATCCCAGGTCCCCATCTCCCCTCCACCTCCACCATTACTCCGCTAGAGGCAGCAGTAGTAGTAGCAGCAGCAGTATCAACAGCAGTGGTAGAGCCTCTGCCACTATCACCACCACAACTACCAATACCAACACTCCACCACTGGGTTTTGACTCGGTGGGTAACTCAGGGCTCGGCGCATCTCTCTTGTGTGTCACCACCTCAGGGCATAATGACTTTGCTCTGTGCGGCCCTCCAGCTCAAGATATTGCATTGATGAATCATGGAGGGTGTCCTGCGTGGTGTTCTCACCGCGGGGGCACACCAGAGGGAGAAGGATGCTTGGACGGCCTACGCAGAGTATCCAACAGGCTGGCAGACTTTCTTAGGGGCCTTTTTAATTCTTGATGGTTGGTTTTAGTTATTTTAGCTTATTATTTGTTTAGTGTTGAGTGTCATCTGTCTTAAGTTTGGTCCAGAACTTAATTTTGCAATTTTATAACAATTTTGTATGGATCCAGGTCTTTCCATTGAACCTGGGAATAATGCTTAAGAAAAAACTATGTATTCATTTGCCCAACACAGAAAGAGTGCCATTACTTCATCTCATGCCTGATCTGAAATCAAATACTCATGCTCAAAATCAAGATGAGCTGGATACTACAAAGATAAAAGAATCAGTGTTATTGATAGTCATAACTGGCTGCAGGCAGAGTTTAGTATTCAAAGTAAGGAATTGTTGGATATGTGACTTAATATTAACAGTGAGATCGTGGGTGTTAAGCCATAGAAGATGAAGCCCTCTAGCGGTCATCAAGATCTATGTGAGTGTGTGGAGTTTGGAAAAGTGGTCAGCTCACTTTGATAATAAGCACATTTGCTTAAACATCGATGGTGATTGTAACTCTGTTTTTCATTTATCATTATTATTATTATTATTATTTATTTTTTATTTTTCTTGTATATTGTTTCTTAAGCAAGTCACCGAGCCCCGGGCTGGCCTTCCCACTCCCGTCCGCGTGTGTTGTGATCATCGGGCATGTTTGTAGCCCATCCCACACCAGTCTTTCACGTTCAGCGGCTGACAAAACTCTCACAAGATTGATGAGCCTCCAGTTTAACTCCATCTAAAATGTCTACATTGGACAGCAAGTACGATGTAAAATATAGATTTTTTATGTTGATGACATATTATATTGCAAACAGTTCAATACTGGTGGTTGATGAACCATATGTGAATGGTGCAACATAGAGCTACTCTTAATACTCATCAAATGAGGTTTGTTCGCCGCTAATTTTTTAATATCAGACTGCCTAGTCGTGAGCAAGGTGTCTTGTGCTGCTCATTCGTTACTTACTATTGAACGATCTCATGTACAGTGTTGTTGACAAAGAAAACTTATTTAACACACATTTTATACAATAATTACAATACAGTTCATATTTGTGTAGATGGGAATGCTGTATCTTGCAAATAATTGTGACAACAAGTGGTTAGAATGATAACTGACCTTTCCCACTACAATTTATAATGCGAACACCTCCTTCTTAGCTAACTTGGCAAGAGGTTACCAAACTTACCAAGTGCATCTCAGTGATAACATGTGATAGACTATACCAAAGGTGGCTTGAAACAACTGTGCAGAGTGCCAAGGAAGAGAGACAGTGGCACCAATCTCACCTCTGTTATCTGAGAGTGATTATGCCTCATTTACCCATTACCATTAAGAGTTGAGGACTACGAGGACAGGTAGTGTATCATTGGTTATCCAATAATTAAAATCTCAGGATGTTTAAGAGTGGGAATCAACATTCCTGAAATATATATATATATATATATATATATATATATATATATATATATATATATATATATATATATATATATATATATATATATATATATATATATATATATATATATATATATATATATATATATATATATATATATATATATATATATATATATATATATATATATATACTTCTCCATGTGGTGTGTTGTGTTCAGTACTTGAAGTTCAGTAGTACAGTACCTTAACACTGAAGACATGAGTCATGGTTCACAATCACTCACATGAGGGGTAACACACAGGTGAGTTTATTATATATCACCTGTAAGAAAATTCAGTTCAGATAGTTGAATTGATCATCTTTTTTTTAAGTTTTCAATTATTAAACCTGATTTGGGAATACTTCATAAAAATTAATAAATAATTGAACTTATAAATTTAGGGCTGTTCCAAAAATAAACAGTTAATTAGATTTGTAAAGCTTACAAAAAAATATAAATATGAAGAAAAATTATAAAGAAAAAAATATAGGTTGCCTGCATGTATGTATAAAGGGATATGACTGTAGGGTAGTGTGGGGGTATACAGGTCTTGTGAGTGTACGAACTGTATGTATATGATATATATGCATAATGTCTTAAACTTGGCATGAATATCTTTTTTTTTCTTCACATCAGTGAGTACTTACGAGGCAGGCAGTATCACAACGTCACGATGGGTATATCTGGTCACAAAAGACAAGTGTATGTACACATTGGTGCTCGAGATGAACTTGTTACTGGCAGCAGGGATCACAAGTGCTGCTATAATTTAATCCCCTGGCTATGGTGACATAAATGTGCAGGCAAAGGTTATAAGGAAACAAGAATGCATGAGGTTGAACACTGTGCACAAGGGTTAATGTGGGACTTAAGCCTTATATCTCTCATTGTCTCGATGCCAACTGTACCTGATGGATAGAGTAAAGGAAAGTGAATTATGAGTCATCAGTTCTTGCTTGCTCACTGCCCAGGTATTGTTCTCGTCAATACTTAGATAATTCGGCTCCAGATTCATGATAATATTCCTTATTCTGTGATTTGGGATATTTATTCTTGTATCAGGGTTTGTTTATGAATAAATCTTGAAATGAGTTTAAATATGTATGCTTAGTGTTGGGAATAATCAGTATTATGTGAACAGATTCTGAAATATTTTTGTATTAATGTGATGTTATATTTAGAGGTTAGCCACAGGTGGCATTGCATACTTATGTGTCCTGCTGTACTGTGCCAAATCTTACCTTGCAGTAATTCATGTGAATGGTTACATATGCAATTATTTTATAATCACACCATCACATTTATTTAACATTGATGTTGAGTTTAGAATTCATAGGGATGGTTTAGTAATGCTCTTAAAAAGACACAAACCCTTCTTGCATGTAATATGAAGGTGCAATTTCATAGTGGAAATAATGTGAAATAGTTTTTCATTCTTTCCATTATGTAGCTGGAAGGAAAAATCTCTTGTATTCATTCTTATATAGATTGTTAGGTACAAGATAAGGAAGTAAAACCAAAACACTGCCATTGTGTGTTTGTATATTGTTGGGCACTTGTGACATTTGCTTCAGTATTGGCAGCTACTGGTGGTGACTGACGTATGCACTTGTGCTGAATAGGTTAATCCTCTACTTGGAGCACTTACAATATGTATGACAGAAGGTTTGAGTCGTACCTCAGAGCTGAATAGTACTGTACAGTATTTATCCTGTCACTTTGGATGGTTTCTTAGGTCAGTATGATTGCCAAAAATAAATAAATGAAATAAGTAGAAAGAACCCAGCGTGAAAATATCCATCACGCCTACCTTCATATGAGGTATAGTTATGAGATAATGTAAAATGGCTGGTAAATGTCTTGAGCTCTTGAGTCTTTATGTTCTTCCATTGAGGAGATGAGGAAGTACAAAATATATAGTTAAAGTCTTAATAATTATTTTTTCATATTTACTATTTGGGCTCTGCCAAATTATCATTTAACTGAAAGAATCCCACATCTTACCTCATGCACTCAGCCAAGCTTCACTAGAGAACACCACCACCTTCTCTTCTTCTAAACTATAGAATGAGACAATTATTACCTTTCATGTTATGAAAAAAAAATAAAAGCTATTTTGTTATTTCCTCTCCTTGTAAACTTTATATAAGATACTTATTTTATAAATATGGCAGAGATTTACAATTGAAAATTAATGATCATCCCATATGATAAAGTGCAAACACTTGTAACATTCAAATATGAAAATTTTTAAGGCCTGACGCCTTCGTCCAATATACTCGATTGAATCAATTAGTCACCAGTTTCTTGAATTTCAATGTTTAAGTTCAGCTTATATATAGGAAATTCAAGAAAAGGACATATCGACCACTGGATTTGTGGCCAGATATACCTGTCTCAGGCAAACTTTAGTTGTTAACCTCACTATAATTGTAAGTTTATCATGATCAAAGTCTGTGGTCAACCTCACATGAAGGTAACCCCTTTTGTGATGCTCTTCTTCCTTCAATGAAGTCACATGGAAAAATATTGTTTGTAAACTAACATCCTCCTCCCTCCCCTCCTCTCTTGAAAAAAAAAAGAAAAAAATGCAACCCGGGTTTGTGTGTATGTTACAAAAATTACTTCATAAGGTTAAAATTATTGGTCATTACTAATAGTAATTTATCCCCCATGTACCAGATTACTTCTGATAAGGGATTCGGAACTTTAAAAGGCATTTTATTATGGTTTGTTTTCATCTCTGCACATAAGAATAATAAGCCTTACTAAAAGCCAATTCTGAAGGTCATATTATTTGGTGGTGATTCTTAAGAGTGCAGTTTGTTGGCAGATATTTCCTAGCATTTAAGAATGATGGAGTTACGTGATTGTTTCCACTTCACAATATTCAGTCAAGTAGTAAGTAGTTGGTTGTTTAATGGAAATAATTATTTGACCTAGGATTTTTGTTGTAAAAAATCTGTTCACATTTTGGCACTTTGCAAAAATGATGTTGTAAGTTGAGAAACAAAAGGCATTGATTTGTGTTATTCAGGTGAATCTACATTGGCCAAGATCATAACCTAGGATGAGGTTTTGGGTGTAGAGTAAATGTATGCTTTGAAGTTTAGCATTACATATGAAACACCGACTGCTACAAAGCTAACATCTTCTGCAATTTCCGTCATAACTTTCCATTGGGTGGCATCCCCAGCGTTTAATCCAGGGCATTAACATTACACAAGACTGAGTGTGTTCATACCTAGAATGTAATGCCCTGTCAACCTTGCCTGCCCTGGTATTGAAACACTCTCATAGGTTGTAAATGCATACCCCATCCCATACCTTGGTACTCTTATAGTAAAATACAAAGCATAATAACAAAAATAAAATTTTTATTTATTGAATTACAGTACAGTATTTGCAATAGTTCTTTGTGTAAAAAAAAAGAAAGAAAAAAAGAAATGTATTGTGCATAGGAATGTTAAGTGCAAGAATTATGGTTTATTTTCCTCACATCACATGACAACACAGTTTGGTTTTGATGAGTACAATGTTCTCTCTATGTGACACTTGTTGGTGTTTCTCAAGCAAAGTCCAAGTCCAAGGTCAAACATGATACTGTATTCTTATTGTATCATAAAATTGACTTGTGTAGAAAATTGTTTATCAGATGTCTGTATAACCCATCATTTGACATTTGCATGGATAATCTTCCAGTTGACTGCAGATGCCAGAGATCCCTGCTAGCTAGGCAGTTGGAGCAACTCTGATGGTTAACAAGAATTCTGGCAAAACTTAAGTCATGATCAAAATTTGGCATTCTGAGCTTGTCCTGTGTTTATTGACTAAAAATGTAGGATAAATTTAGAAATGATCGAATGTGGCAACATGGCTGGTTTAGAGAAACTATCTTTAGAGTGAAAGAATGTACAGTTAATTGCTGGAATAACTGGGCCTTCCATTGCTAAGATGGTTCCTTGAGTAAGGCTGCATGTGCATTAAGTTCACTGTCCTGTGCCGCAGGAGTCTCAATACAGGTGCCTCCCAGCCTGGGGACCCTCGGCAACTCCACAAACATTACTGCCTCAAGCCCTCGAGTAAATGTTCAAAACTCTTAAAGTAGTTTGACGAGCAAATAAGAGACAATGTTAGATGTAAATCTTTTAAGTAAATTTTGTACAAGAATGGGAAGTCCAATTACTTGTAAAGAATTCATATCTTCCTATGAGGAATATTGTTCTGTTTCTGAGTAGTCCTGTTATTGTAGAGTAGCAGAAACTGTGAAGAGGTTGGCCATTACAAGCCTGAAATGGTACTTCAATAAGGGTAATTTTCAAGTTTTGCAACAAGTAGTTAACATGCCTTAATAAGACCGTTATCTTGGCTTATAATGGCTGATTCTGTCACATAAAGTATCATAAGTGAGTCATGTGTGTGATACAAGTACTACTGCAGTTACTCATCTTTCTCAGAAGTAGACGTCATCATTTTACACTCCTTCGGTTTCAGATATGCAACTACTGTTCATAATTTCCTTCATTTGAGCAAAAAGACTGCAATATTTATGCCAATGATATTGTTATTATTTTAATAAAGGAAAATTATCATGTTTTATTAGTAATTTGGGATGGTCAGTACTTGTGTTTATACAGGATGCAAGTGAGAGTTTTGTTCAGTTGTTGTATGTCTGGTATGATTGTGCATTATTTTTAAGTGAATGTTGTATGGAGTAAAAACTTTTGCATTTTATATAGAACATATAGTATACATTTCACAGGTAGAAACAGTTACTGTAATTCACTTATAGAATCTCCATTGAAAATGAAATAAACCCCTTTTTCACTATGTGTTGTACTTATTTCAAATTATTCCATTCGATGACCAGTCATTCTACGGCTTTTTTACATGTGGTAAAGAGAAACCTTGTCTGTTCTTCCATTAGCCTCTGTGTTGTGGCTGGGTGAGCACAATGCAAAACTACAGTAACGCTGGGT